GAGCCTTAATGCGTGTATCGTCGATTTTAAAATTAATGATACAAAATGTGCGGTTATGGTCGTTAGAAACAGGTTCTAATATATACAAATTAGCATATATGTATAAATTTAACTCTATTTCATTCTGACTTTATTTCCCCTATGCGGGAGAGATATAACATTGAACGAACGGCCGATATTGGAAAAACACAATCATTGTTTAACCAAGTAAATTCCTTCGTTGGTAAAGACAAAGATCCATACTCTTCTCTGCGGCCCACGCTCCGGGTACATAGAAAGCGCGTACTTCAAAAAAAATATATAATCTGTTATTAAACTACAAAATAATATATAGATTGTTTCTACTTTTTTTGTGTGTATTCACTTTTTGAGTACGATGTACTTGTTCCCTCACGTGAAAATAAAACATTTTTTGGGTGTGAATGTAAATGTATTCTAAATTTATTCATAATTGAGTTTTCGGTAACGTGATACAAATAAAGCTAAGACCTCAATGCGCTTTCGAGTTGTTTTCATGCCCATAAATTTAACTGTGAGTCTAAAATACGCTCAAAACAATCCGTTGGACAGGCAGAATTCACATCATTCTTACAACACACACAGATCCTCGGTTCTTGGAGCGGAAGACTATTTGCTGTAGCTTTACATCCCATCCCTCAACGTGTTATCAATTTCTAAATACGTCTGGTAAGGGGTGCAACGCTCGGTACACACTGAGTACCGAGTCTCTGATTACTCAGTGTGTTACTGTCATTATAATTTTGTTTCACCTGAATGGTGGACTCTGACTTGGAATAGTCCTTGATAGTTTTGGGTTGTTTGGTTTTCTTGGTCTTTAGTAGTTTTTTGATGTCATATAAATTTTCATATTCTAGTGGAAACCTTCTAACTAAATGATATTATTGTGATAATATCACTAGATGAAGCAATAGATTTCCTTTTAATTAGAATTTTTTAATTAATTCCGGCTCATTGATAAAAAATCGGGCTAAAATACTTTTGATTTCCTTAGATTTTCAACAAATATATCTAGAAATCTATAATCTAGTAAGTAATAACCTATCATATATGCAAATTTCAACGCTATAATTTTTTTTATTTATTGCTACTTATTTAATAAGGTCGATTGGTTTTGAGTGCGAGTTGATTTTCTGTTCGAATAAATTGACGAGACTTATGAGCTTAATCCTAATTAGCTGCTGCTTCAGCGGCTGCAATTGCTTATTAACCAAAAATGCAGATAAATGTCCCCTTCTAGGCATGGGATAATTATCAATACTACATCAGACTAAACATTGTTACGAAATTTAATATTAACTGCTGATTTGAGTAATAAGTTCAAGACATCATAAGATCTCCTACCATATTTCGACTCGTGCTGCAATCATAAGACCCAATCAAAAGTAAATAAGGCCAACTCACAACAAGTATATATTCGAGTTATCATTTAGCAACTCCTTATTAATTTTTGATTCATTCTAATATGAATAATAAACAAATTCACGGGATTTCCAATCAATTAATATAGAAAAAACGTACGGAATAAAACCTATTAGTTAGTTCAAAATAAAATTTCCTAACATACAAAAAGTTTTCTTTGTGTCTTTACTAATTAGAACCTTTTTTCATTGACTGAGCCACAGAAATTGCACCTATCAAGCAACTAAAGAATTATTGAAATTGAGTTCAAATGGAAGAAAAAAACTCTGTTGATACAATGAATTTCCTATTTGTTGGACTATTACTTATTAAATCTTGCTCTATAACTATTGGTTTAATCTTGTCATGTCCCAATAACCCCCGTACCCATGACGTAATCGAGCAATAGTAGAAATTAATGAAAAAATGAATAGTTGTACAACCAAAGGGAAGTAATGCCCGATTTCCAACAGTTCCACAGTATTTAAATCCGTGGAATATTCTGAATCATTTCGCATGTAAACATCACAGCAAATATGTGATTAAAACATTTATGCCCCCACGTAAAATAAGGAGCGTTGTGCGGGCAGCTACAAAATGGGAATTTGATAGAATAGTGTACAATAAAGGGATATTACAATAACCAAGAAACAAATCCTTTAAGGAAAATGCTGAAAATATTGGGTTGGAATGGTAATACCACTCCCAGACGCTCCTATTATAAAGACCGGACTCCCAGAAAAACTAAAAGAAAATCATGTGTAATTAGGTCCAGGCAAATCCATGTATATTATTAAAATAAGAAAAAAAATTGATCGAAATCCTGTTTTCAGTGACCTTATTAGATTTAACCGGGGAATTTTGTTTTAAATATGGTTTCTAATAGAGGTAAAATTTAGAAGGCTAATGGATATAGAATTTGAGGTAGATACAATTTATTAGACAGTTTCGCCTATTTTTATTCTTTATTTATTCTGAAAGTTTATTTTCACAACCTAGCCATTTAAAAGAATTAAAACAAAACATAAAGTTAAAGTTACCTCAATATATTATATTAAAAGAGAATGCGCCTATAAATGACTTGTAATTATTATTTCATATAGAATACAATACAACACATTTGGTGTAATTCAATTCTTTATCGGTAATTCAACTAACCATTTTTGGATTCTTTTTTTCAATGAAAATTAATGGTTTACCCATTTTTTTGTTTTCAGGTGGAATTCAAATTTGTTCGAATAGATGTAATCCGTGCCATTACTGTGACGCTTGGTAGCGCGACCCAAAGCTACTTATGATTTATCAATTTAATTTCGGTTGACGAGCATGGAGAGTTTGAAAATTCATATTGCTTCAGGTGCATTGCCGAAACAATTTTGTTTGACAATACTCAACACTATTACCACAAAATATACAAATTTCCTCAAACATACTCTCAAGATACTGTGTCATTATAGTCATCCGTTTTTTGTTTTTTTCGAATATTGTAGTTTTTCCATTTCCAATCAACAACAGGTCAGAAATCAATAGGAACATACCTGCGACACATACTTTCACAAGCAATGACATTTATCAAATTCGAAATGTGATTCGACCGCAGGAAGCGTTCTGATGTTATTAAGTTTTTTCATTTCATAGCGGATAATTGTAATTAGTTCTCAGGCTCAGGTAACGATTTGGTGTGTTGGGGCATAAGGTAATCATGAAACTCTTGACCAATATACCTTGCTAGCTTCGTGTAGTGGTGTTTTGTTTGACCATAATTCATGAACCCGGTTATCATAGGAAGCATTATTGTACTTATCTAGATGAATAATTTTGATCTTTATTTCTTTCTCTTGTTTAAAGATATATGTTTGGATTCTTTTCAATTTAGAGTGAAAAGAGTTGGAAAGAAGTTGTTTATAATAGATTGACCAAGCTAAATCGTGGTTAAAAGAAATTTCCTCATCCAAGATTTAAATAGTTGATCCATTCTTAGTCCTAGGTAAACGTCCATCCTTGTTGCGATAGGAATGAACAATGAACAAATACAAGTTTTAGCTAATGTAATAAAGATACCGTAATTGTCTGTTCCAACAAATGGTATCCCTCTCAAATAGCTCCAGAATAGATACATGATGGAATAGTAATCGATTCCACAACCGGTGCACTAAGTATATGAACTGTGTTCAAATAATTGAGGAAACTTAATAGATTTAGATAAGAAGCAACGTAACAAGAATTAACAAAGTTTGATCATCCGATATTCGTTTGATCCCTCGCTACTTATAATTCTTCTTCCGCTTCTGTGGTAAATCAAACGGTAACCTCCTCGCATTCTGCTAGGGAAGAAACTTAGAAAAATGATAAAACCTATCTCGTTGACCTCTCTCACAAAGTTCCATCCCCAATCAAAACATATTTTGATTGTGCCTACCTATATCACTGTCACTTAAACTGTTAGATAATTTTAGTCGGTGATAACATACTATTCTCACCGCTATTACAAAAAACCGTAGGAAGGAGTGTACTTTCGGCAAATACATTATAACAGGACTGCCTCGTGGTGCCCATAAATAACTGTCAAGGGACCGGATTAGGTAGTATTTAGATACGATATGATGTGTTCGAAAATATTGCGATTAAATCAAAATAGATCCGGAGGTCCCATATTATACCAATGGAATTGCTGTCTGCTAAAATTCTAAGAATAAAAAAAAAGCGCCCGCTTCGGGAATTCATCTCATCCTTTACGCAAATTTAAATTTCTATTTGTTGAGTAAAATACTGAATCCTTTAATAAAATCCTCCTTAGTAAAAACGGAAAAAATATGTGATTTCCGCCTCGATCTTAGTTTTCAATTACGAAAAAGAATTAGACATCCTATTAGTTTCTTATTCATGACATAACGGCTATTTATTTTCTAAATATATGAAAATAAATATCCTTGTTTCGTTCCTTTTCTTATTTATTTTTTTCGAAAAAATAAAGTTGGTGGACTTAAAAAATAAAGGATTATTTCGTTTCTGATAGTCATTACATTTATCGGTGGATAGGAGCATACTCTGAATCGGAATCTTGGGGAGTACTGTCTGATCATTTCTACGAATTTCAAGCCCCAATTAACCTTCTTTTTTTTGTTATCTTATGTTATGCATAAATATCCTTTTTCAATTTGATTAATCTCTATTACAAATTCTTTGTGTATTTTGGTGTTTCTAAGCATCCACTCATTTTACCTAATTGCCGCTCACTTTGTAATACATGTTGTTAATCTATATAACTATAACTGATAGTGAAAACGTCATATGGTTAATCTTTTTTTTTAACCCGCTTCACAGCCAGGATGACTAATCAACCAACCTTGGGGTAAAGTTATTCTTACGCTTATGTTTATTTTCGTTTAACCTTTGTACATAGGAAATGAGATTCAATTTTATTTTTACTGCTAATTTAGAAGCAGTTTTTTTTCACTCATATAACTATCAAATTACTTTTATAAGATTAACCTGAAAGATAAATAAATATATATATATAGTCCGTTTTTTAACTTATTCGTCTAGAAGAAAACAGAATAGTCAAAATAAACGTTTATGTTTCAACGAATCGCACGGTAGAGAATTGATAAAACACATAGAGTTAATGGTATTTCATAACTAATCGATTGGGCAGCAGCTCGCAGACCACCTAAAAAAAAGATATTTATTATTTGATCCATATCCTGATATAAAAGTCCAATCGAGCAATACTTGAGATGGCAATCCATAAAAAAATACCGATATTGAGATCCGCTAAAACAAGGTGATTGCTAAAGGGAAGTACAGAATAACTTAGTAAAATTGAAATAACTGCTATAGATGGTCCAATACTAAATAAAGGAGTATTTCCTCTAGATGGACGAAGATCTTCTTGAAAAGTAGTTTTGTCCCGTCGGCTAGAGCTTGAAGAATTCCCAGCGGGCCGCGTATTCAGGTCCAATACGTTGTTGTATCCCTGCAGATATTTCTCTTTCTAACCACACAATTACTAGTACACCTGTTATGATTCCCAATATAAGAGAAAATATAGGGACAAATATCCATATGAGTCCATAGACCTCTTTTAAAGATTCCAACCTAACAAAAGAATTTATAGTTTGTACTTCTGTTGCATAAATTACATTTTAAACGATCAACCTCTCCCATAATTATATCTATGCTACCGAGTATCGTCATAATATCAGCCAGTTTCATTCTTTTAACTAGTTTCAGGAAAAATTTGCAAATTAATAAAACCCGGCGGTCGGATTTTCCATCTCCAAGGAAAACCACTTTGATCTCCTATCAGAAAAATTCCCAATTCCCCTTTTGGAGCTTCAACTCTTACATAAAGTTCTTGTTTCGATAATTCAAACGTAGGAGAAGGTTTTTTACTAATGAATCGATATTCAAAATCATTCCATTCTGTATTCCTTTTTCTATCAAAGCCTCTGCTTTCTAAATTCTCATAGGGACCCCCCGGAAGTCCTTCGAGAGCCTGTTGAATAAATTTTATGGATTCTGTCATTTCGCTAAGTCGTACTAAATAACGAGCTAATGAATCTCCTTGTTTTTGCCACTGAATTTCCCATTCAAATTCATCGTAAGATTCATAACGATCAACTTTACGAAGATCCCATGGTATTCCGGATGCTCGTAGCATTGGTCCGGATAAAACCCCAATTTATTGCTTCTTCCCCACTAATAATCCCAACGCCTTCAACCCGTTCTAAAAAAAATAGGATTTCGTGTAATCAGTTTTTGATATTCAACAACCTCTGTTAAAAAATAATCACAAAAATCCAAGCATTTATCTATCCAACCATAAGGCAAATCAGCCGCTATTCCTCCAATACGAAAAAAATTATGCATCTTTCTCATACCGGTGGCAGCTTCGAATAGATCATATACAAATTCTCGTTCTCTGAAAAATAAAAAAGGGAGTCTGTGCCCCAATATCTGCCATAAAAGGGCCAAGCCATAACAGATGAGAAGCTATACGACTCAATTCCAGCATAATTACTCTGATATAGCTGGCCCTTTTAGGAACTTGAATATTTCCCAATTGTTCTGGTCCATTTACTGTTATTGCTTCTGTAAACATAGTAGCTAAATAATCCCATCGCGTTACATAAGGTAAATATTGTATAATTGCGCGGTTTTCGGCAATTTTTTTCCATTCCTCTATGTAAATAACCCAATATGGGTTCACAGTCAACAACATCCTCGCCATCTAGAGTAACAATTAGGCGAAGAACACCATGCATATGGGTGGTGAGGTCCCATATTGACTATCATAAGGATCTTTTCCTGTAACTGGTCTCTTCATAAGTTTTTCCTTTATTCGTTCTGGCATGAATTAAGATTGCTGAAAAAGAAGTTTATCAAAAATTCAATATCTAAAAAATAACTAATCACAATTTTGGAATTTAACGAGTTTAATTCCCGAAATTCAACTGAAATAATCTTTATAACGTACTCTATTTTTTTTGAACATAAGCCAGCAGTCGTGTTGCGTTTCCCCGACTTTTTCGTCGACCCCTCTGCGATTAAAAATCTTTCTGGCAATTCCAAATGGAAGTACGTCTTGTATCTATAGTGAAACTTAATACTTGAAAATTCAACAGATCCCCTGCTTTCTTCATTTTTTCTTTGACAATGAAATGACTGCATTTTTTATCATAAAAAGAAATCTTCCTTTTTTTAATTTTTAATATGAATTGAAAGATATGAATTTTACTGATCAGTAATAATACTGCGTAGTTTTTTGTACAAGGATCTGAATTTAATATCAACCTTCTTAATTGTTATAAAAAAAGTCTAAATTTCGATCTTAAAAAAAGGAGGATCTTTTAATTTATTTATGAAGCTGCTCTGATGGGTATCTATGTCATTGATTAAATGAAATTCTCATGTATAAAGGATGTATTTAAAATAAATTCTCAAATTTGTTTCTTTTTGTTTCTTTTTATCTGCATAATAATGTTTCAATACCGTAACTTATATATTATATATAGTAAAAAGGATCTATCATTAATGAATTTTAAATCGCTTATACATCTGTATTCTTATCATACTGAAATGATTTCCGTTACTATATAAACCAATACGATTCATACAAGCTAAATCTTCTAATCTAAAATTGGGCCAAAGAAAGGATTTTAATTTAATTAGGTTCTTTTTATCATTATCAAGATCTTTTTTTATGCAAAACTGTGGTCAAGTTTTTAATATTCGTATCAAATCTGAATTTCTATCTCTCGCATTTTTTTTTTTTAAGTTGAAACAAATTAATTCGAAATTCTCTGCGTCGTTTAGGGGATAGAATATTTTCAGGACAAAGAAAATCATAATTATTTTTTTTAATCAATATAGCTTTTGTTTTTTATATCTTTTACTTATTTTGTGTTTATTTTTATGAACCAATGAAATACCTATGGTTCTATAATAATAATTTGTCATCGTTTTTTTACAGATGAACGATAGGTTCAATAATCAATATTCCCTTTTTCATTAATTTTCAAAAGTGAAATTATTCTCAATCATTAGAATATCTAGGCTCATCTCTCCTCTTTCAATAGAAGATATCGCTATCTCGTTTGATTTTTTAGTCTAACCAGAGAACAGTATACTTTTACATTATTAAGAATTTTTTGATTAAAAAAACAATTCCATCGCAATTGAAAAACCGAATACCTTGTGAGAAATAAATCAAGTTCCGCTTCGGTATTGCTTTTGTATTGTTTTTTATTTTTACGGTTTTGTTATCGTCGATTCTTCATAATTTTCTTCAATATTTTTTTTTTTTTTTTCTTTATCTGATTCAAGCTCTCCTTGACCTGCCGAGTCTTTTCTTCTTTATTTAGATTATAAAATAGAAGGTTTTTTTTTCGTTTAATGGTATCAAACCTTTTTTATTAAAAGTGTCTTTTTAATAACATTTTTTTTTTCATTTAAATTGAAAAGAAGTAATTTAATGGTATGACCCACGGTTTCATTTTATATGTACTAGAACATAAGAAAAGTTCTGGAAAGAAAAACAATTCAAAATTTGTATACGACGATTTAGTATTTCTTTCATTCATTCCCATCCAATCAAAAAATAAACTTTTTGGATTGGCAAGATCCTTATTAGTTATTTTTATCAATTCTTGATAATTCTGAACGTTAGTCTTAATATATTTTTTTTGACTCTTTGTTATCAACCAGGTCTCAATATTGACTTTTTTTCTAAAACCAAAAGTTGAGAATTCGCCAATCCAAATATTTTCTATGCGGAATTTCCCCTATACCCCTAATATTATATTGTTCTAGAAAACAAGAGACTAAACAATTATCTAGAGCAATGCCTATATCAATGTCAAATTTTTTTTCTGTAGAATTAATAGATTTGTAGCAAAAAAATATATATATAATCTTTTTTCAAATTATGTTTTGGGTTTAACAATGAGTTGGTCTCAAAAAAATTTTTGTTTTTTGTAATTATCAATTTGTTTTTTCATATGAATCTGCTTTGTTAAACTTCATTTAGAACGGTAGAGTCCTGGTTTATTTTCTTTTTCCATTTTTGGTTACTAATCTACCCATGCAATCTGAGGTAAATTGTATTGAGAATGACTTCGTAACCAGTTTTTTCCATGGATTGAACTTCCGAATTAAAAAAGGTTTTATCTTTCAATTCATAATTAAGATCCTTGTTCTTGAAAAAAACCTTTATTTTATTCTTAACAAAAAAGGATGTTATGCATATGTTATATTCAAAACAGCCTTTAATTTATGAAAAAGATACTAACTTGAATTGTGATAATTTGTAAAATACATATGCTTGGATAAAAGAGCATAGGTCATAACTACAATTTTTTTTATTGGATATATACATTTTTATAGTCGAAATAAAACTAAATGGTATTTTTTTTTTTTTATTAATTTTTGCTCCATTTTCTTCATTCTTGTAAATATTTTTATCAAGAATTGTTTTTGTTGATTCAAAAAAAAGTTGTGTAGTAATTCTTGGAATATAAATGATACCTAGAAAAATAGTTATAGACAGTTGTTCAATGCAAAATTTCAAAAAAAAAAAAGATTTACGAATTAATCGGTATTTTTTTCTTTTGAATGCCTGCCAACTTTTTTTTGATGACTCATTATTTTAGAATTAAACGCGTGTTGTTACAACTAGTAGTTCTATAGTTCGTTTTCTTTTCTTTGAAATTTCTTCTGTTGATTTCTAATTGTCTTTATTCTATCAATCAAAATTTTTTTTTTTTTTCGCTGAGTGAAGAATTTGTCCACTCCATGTATGTTTTTTTGAACAGATAGTTCATGAATCATCTGATTACTCATTATGAATCTTTAGTTTCATTTAATTCAATATTTCTCTAAGGCCATATAATGGAATTAGATATGGTTTTGAAAGGTTTTTTTTTTTTCCTTTAGAAAAAACACGTTTTTGATAAATCCAGTTTTTAATTCCTTTTGAGACTTTTAGAAAAGATTGTCGCTCTTTCTTTGAAAATAAAAACCAGAAAAGACTTAGTTTTTAATTTTTTTGATTCTTTTTTTTAATTCTTTAAAAATAGGTTCAAAAAAAGAAGGCTTTTTTTTTTGTAGAACCAAACGTATTTCAGTTCCAGTCCCCAAACTGTTAAAAAACAAAAATCATTTTTTTCTCCTTTGTCTTTTTGTTTTTTTTAGTTTAGCCTTCTGAGATGATTGAAATTTAGATTTATGCCAAGGTTTAAGATAAAAAGGAAATAGTAATTTTATCTGAATACCATCCGTTAACCAGTTTCTTGGAAATTCTGTTTCGGATAGTTGAACCCCATTAAAGTACATTAACATGCATTTCACGTTTTCCAATCCTTTAAATCCTCAGCCCACATCGGAATTGAAATATAACATACGTATGCTATTTTTAATTATTATCAATAAAGGTAATATAATATATTATCAAGAAATATTGAGTTAACTAAGAGAGAACTCTTATTATTTGAGCAAGATAGGAAGCTATCCCAAGTTTCTGCAATTTCTATCCGTCTGTTTTCTTCTATTTTTTGATTGTTCTTCTTCATTTTTTTATCAAATTTTTTTTTTTTTTTTTGCATTAAATTTCTAAGAAAATTTGTTTTTAGCTCCATATATCAAACGAAAAAAAAAAAAGTTATCTATTTCTATCAAAAAAAAGGGGAATGAACTTTTGCTTGTAAAATTCCCAAATAACAGTTTTACGCCTTTGTGGAACGCATGGATCCTTTAATTATCTCTCGACAAAATCAATTTGTTGTGAATACCGGATCAAAGCCATTTCAATCGTTTGATCAAAATTTGATTATCTTTAGAGATTATTATAAATCTCTTTATGCGGCTCTTTATCATAAAAAACCACTACACGTTTTGCTTTTCTTGAACGAAGTCCAGCTCTGTCGGTACATTTTTTATCAGTTGTCGCCTTCCAATTCTTCCAACTCACTTGTTAATTGTACGACCATCGAGGAATTTTGTTATTTATTTCATGGAAATTAATAAAATTTTTTATAAGTTTTGATCTTGATTATTGTTATCAGTTATAACGACATCAAATAAAAATTTTGAAAATTTTTATTTCTTCTTCTGAATATTCTTATTAAATCTTTTTCTTCTTGGGGTTCTGAAAAAAAATAAAGTTCTTTATCTATCGACAAAGGTTTTCTATTAAAATTTTTCGATTGTTTGCTCAAAATTGCGATAATAAATCTTCAGAAGTATACCATGAATTTTGTTTATCCAAGATCCTCCTATATTATTTTTATATAGTGTTTCAGTTATGATTTTAACGGAGAAATTTTTTGATTCTTCCGCGAGAGATCCCATGCAAAAGTGGATCATAAATTTTTAGGTAAATATTCATTTGAGTTTTCATTATGACAAAATCGAGTCGTTTTTTCAGTATATTTTCAACAGACCTTTTCTTATCATAAAGCTTCAATCGATTTAAAAAATCGTTTTTTTAAGTTTTCCTTTTTTTCTTCATTGATCAAACTCCAACAAGTAGAAACTTGATCAGATGGGCGTTTTTTCTCTTGTAAATGAAGGTATCTTTTTTTGGATCATTTCAAAAAAGTTGAAAGGTTGGGGGGGTATGTAAAGATATTCGTTCTTTTCCATACTTTGGCATGTAAAAAAAAAAAATATTTGACATTTCATTTCTTACAATATTTTCAATTTTAAAATCATTTATTATATACGATTTGGTCTATTCCATCTTTTATAATCGAAAACTAGAGTTAAAAGGTTTTTCAAACCAGAAAAAAATGACCTCTTTTTTTTTTATTTTGAAAAATTCTAAATTCGAATTTTCTTTATTTCCATCTCGATTTTCAGAAATTTTTTTATAGTTATAGTATGTTCGAACGTGGAATTCATCCTTATTAATTTTGTCTTTCCATTCACTCCGATTTCTTCCGCATTTCATCGATTTGTCCAGATCCTCCCCTTCTTCCGAAAAAAGAAAGGAAAAAGAGCTTCTTCGGCGGATACCTCTTGGTCCTGCTTAGTCCCACCCCTTTCTTCCGTTTCTGAGGTTCCTTTTAGTTTCTTAGTAAAAAGGGATGATGGTATTCTGCCTAAATAGAGACACAGGTAATAAATAAGATAATAACTAAAGATTCGAGCCATAGAATTTCTCAATTCTGACACAAGGAACTTATACTTATTAGATCTAATAGTACATTAGACCTAATCTAATTATTTTGCTGTATCCAACTAATACCAATCCAACCCATTTCATGAATAAAATGTGACCCATTAACCAACCAACAAAACTACTTGTTACAAATAACATCTTGTTGTTGCATCGAAACATATAAATGTTGACTAATCTGGCTAACATTGAACTTGGTAAAATGAAATGGTTGAATAATTGAAAAATGAGATTATCAGGAATACACATTGAATGCGAAGATTACGCATTTTCATTTCTGGTAGTAGATCCATAATCAAAAAAGTGTTTGTGATTGTTCCAGAAGAAATGGAAACAAAAGATACGGTAGAGCTAGGACAGTTATTTTAGAGGACTACCCAATGCTAAATGCCAGAGGCGCATAATAGATCGATATGAACATCATGAGCTGTCCCGCAATAAAACCAGTTGTTGCTGATACTTTCTTCTCGGTTCCTTCTTCTCCTTCGTCCATAACCCGAGCTCGGAGAAGGAAGAGATAAGAGGGCCCTATGGAGAATGTGGTCATAAATCCATAATAGAGTCCGACCACAACGACCGAATTTGATTATCTTCATTTCATAAGGATACTAGAATACCTAGTATAAAAGATTGAAAAACCATCACAACCTCCCTTTTTCTTTCTATTTCAATTTCTGGATTTATAATGATGATTTTGCAACTTTCCATATATAGAAATAGAAAGAGATAGACTAAAACGGACATCTCTTAGCCAATGAAGAGCCAAATGGATATTAAAGAATGGAATTGGTATATGAGATGGAATATAATGATAGAGCCGCTTTGAGATTCCATATGAAATGAGGCATGGAACGGAGCCACTACGAAGAATGTTCTCAGGGGTTACGAAGAAGACTTCGAGTTTACAGAGGATATGGTGTCATGGGGTGAGAACGGAAGTGGAAGCTCTAATGAGATATAATCCCCGCGCCTCAGTAGCTCAGTGGTAGAGCGGCGAGCAGTGTTAACTGATTGGTCGTAGGTTCGGGAATCCTAATTGGGGGAGATTTGATCATTCGAATTAAAGAATTCAGAAGTAAGAATGAAACTTTTTCGCTTTGACCGTTAAGAGTAGGTAAACCCGTTCCTGGTGTCTTTTGTTTTATATTGAATTCTATCATATCGATATCAATATGATGTTCTGTGATATTTGCGAATCACCGTCAAATACCTCGTGGTAGGGTCCGGGATAATCCTTTATTCCATAGCAGTTTGTGGCTATTTTACACTAGCCAATTATTGTGAAGAATTTACGATGTACTAACAATTGCATCTTTGCTGCCCAGTAATCGATTCTCATCTATCCCGAGAGTTTCACAATTAACAGCGAAGCAAACATATTAATTTAATGACTTAATGATGAGGAACCCATTTTTTGCTATGACTACTAATACTTGTACTGCCTCCTGCCTATTCTGCCCAAGCCTGGCTGAGGGATAGTTACGGGGCTTCAAAAAAATATGGCTAGATTCGGCCTCTTTTTTTTTTGTACTAAAAAAGGAGGTAAACTATATGTAAAAAAATAATAAGCGAGTAGATATAATCGATTTATATATTTCCCCCCTTTAAAATCGATTCAACATAAAAAAGAAGAGCCAGAGCCCCCTCTATTTCAGAAGAAAATGGACCGTTCGCCCAAGATTGACATAGCGTTTGAGTCCCAATAACGAAGAGCACGAGATGATTTTCCTACCCCCCGTGAAGGTCCTTACCTTTTGGCCGTTGTGGGCGGGAGTTGGATTCGAACCCCGACACCGTGGTTCGTACCACGTGCCTAATCCTCTGAGTACAAGCCCCACCCCGTCTCCACTGGATCTGTCCCAGGAGTACCTAACCTTTCCTCTCCCCAGCCATTTCGGTTTAAGAAGATGGGTGAAAGTGCCTTTCTCTCTAAAAGAACGTGCGTTCCGGGTTGTGAAGTGGATAGAAGGGATTTCATAATTGGGTTTTGAATAAGACAACCTTTTCATTTGTCATTTTTTTTCAATCAAAAAATAATAAGAAAATGAGAATGAAAAGTAATAAGAAAGAGAGGTGTTAAGCTTTTCATCATCTCCATCCTGGAGTCGAGCTAATTTCCGCAGGACCTCCCTACAGTATCGTCACCGCAGTAGAGTTTAACCACCAAGTTCGGGATGGATTGGTGTTTGTTCCTCCTACGGCCTATGACACCAGAATATCGAACCATGAACAAGAAAGGCATGCGATAAAAGCATAATGGCTAGTGATTGTGAGGCTCCTAATTCTTGACTGAGTGGACCCAAAGGGCCTCCCGCCCCTCCATCCTTATGGATAGAAGGCAGAATTTTAGGTTTTTTTCATGTTGGGCAAAGAGTTGAACAATTGGTTTTTTCGTGTTGTCAAGAGTTGAACTATAAAATAGATGGCTAGTGGGCCTGATCGAATGATCAGGTCATGTAGGAACAAGGTTCAAGTCTACCGGTCAGTTAGGATCCTCAGCTGCATACATCACTGACGTCCACTATGACAACCTAATCGTAATGAAAAACGGCTCGTCTCGCCGTGACCTTCTCTGAGTACTTCAAAAGCTTCTGTCACTCCAAGCCCCGCAGGGGCGAGAACCCGTTGCTGTCTCGGCTGTGCTTACCGGAGGCACGGGGAAGTCGAATAGGAGAGCACTCATCTTGGGGTGCTTACTACTAGATGCTTTCAGCATTAATCCGCTCCGCACTTGCGACCCAGCGTTTACCGTGGGCACGAAACTGTACA